GAGGAGGAGAGGAGGAGGGGCCGCGCGCGGCGGCCCTAGGCGGCGACGGGGACGCGGGGACGCGGGGACGCGGCTTTGTGCAGGCGGGTCGCGGGGCGCCCATGGCGGAGTGCGGCCGGGGGGGCGCCGCCGGCGGGGCTCTGCCCACCTCCCCGGGCCCGACCCTCGGCGCCAAGGGCGCCCTGAAAGCCGGAGTGGGGGAAGGCAGTGGCGGGGGAGGTCGCCTCGGCCACGGGCGAGCGCGCTATGACAGCGGCGGGGTTTCCAACGGAGACTGCAGCCTCGGCGTGTCCGGGGACGAAGCCCGGGCCAGCCCCACCAGGGGACCCCGCGGCGTTGCGCTCGCCCCGACCCCCAGCCCGGCCGTCTGTCCCCTCCCCCGGGAGAGCAAGCCGGGCGGCCTGCCCCGCCGGAGCAGCATCATCAAGGTAGGTGGAAGAAGGGCGCTCATCGCCCACCCTCAGCCGTCCTTGGGGTCTGTTTTCCCCCTGGGGGAGTGGTGGTGGAAGGAGGAAGCCCACTGCTAACAGGAACCACTGGAGCATGGGTGCTTGGGATGGTTGAGCGGGGATTGGATGCAAATGGCATGTGGAAAGAATGGAGAGGTGATCCCTAATGTGCAGGGGGAGCTATGCTCAGACATCCCCAGTTGAACTTGGGGCTGTCACCTCTTGAGGATGGGTCTGGCATTAGGGCCTTGTACCTGCCTGGGTAGGGCATGCTCTTGTGTGTAGCCTAGTTTGGTTAACACTCCCTGTAAGATTTCTATTGTATTTTAAATGCAGATAGGGATCATGTGAAATGTAAGAACATTTTCTTAAAAATCCCAGGCGGCGAACAGAGAGGGTGAACAGAGATTATTTAATAGGTTTCTTCTGATCTGTGCATAGTTACTTGCCTCTTGCAAATGGTTACACTTCGAGGGTGCAAAATCTCCCAATCTCCGGCCACTCAGTCACAAAGAGAAATAGAGTAGATTTCTGAACATAAATGCAGATTTCCGTTTTCTTAGGCTCAAAAGCTCTGAGAGATTACATTACAGTTCCACACGATTTAATCTTTTCCCTTACTGCAGTAGGCAGGCCTCGAGTTCTGTGAAAGTTCTTTGGGGCAGTTTGCTTGGTTTGTACAGTGTTAGCGGAAGAAAGCCAGCGATTGTTTTCAGCATTTTAAACTCTAAGAAGTAGTATTAGGAACTCCCGAGTAAGTTTGTGTTGGTTTCATTCTAATGTTACATTTTGGTCCACAATGTAAAAATATTTCTCGTGACATGAAGTGAAAAAAAAAAAAAAAAAAAAAAAAAAAGGATGAGCTAAGAAGAGCAGAGCCTTAGGCAAGACCAGCTCATTTGGCTTGCTCAAGTTTGGAGCAAATGAAAACATTGCTTTCTGAAAAGCAAGGAGTTATTAGGACAGGGAGCAGCAAAACATATTGACAGACTGCACCCACCCTTCCTGTGGCTGACAACTGGTGGAGAGAGGGCAGAACGTGCCACAGTGAAGAGAGTTGGCAGTGGTAGTATCTGAAATTTTATTGGACTTACAGAAATCTTCCAAGTACTGTGAAAATGTCTGATGGTGTTATCAACTTCTGCAGTAATCTAGTGAAATATACCATCTTGCTACTGTATGTAAGAGGCAATTGTGAAACTACATTTCGCTTTGTCATCTGTTTGCACAGTTTATGTCTGGGCAAGGACACAATTTGAAGGGCTTAGAGATCAAGTGTATTAACTACCTGCAGCACACACTTAGAGGTAAACTAAGAAAAGGAAAGTGTCTTTTTGCTGCACACATGGCTTTTAGTGACTTATGTTTTCTTTTACTCAATAGCTTATGTTTACATGGAAGTTCCTTTCAACTGTGCATGTCAATCCTATTGACAGAGTTATGTGACATTTCTGTTTTTATTTGTCATTAAATATTTGTGGTGATTTTGCATTGTAGTGTTAATGAAATTTGAGGTGAAAATTCCAGAGAAGATACTAGCCTATCTAATTTTAACCCCTTTCTTTTAGTTGTTTTGAGAACTTGTTTTTGCATTTAAAAAAATCAGACTTTAGTCTCCACAGTGGAATTCATAGTGTAACTTAACTGAATTACAAAAACATTTGTTTTAATTTTATATTAATGGGTAATAAGGAAGAAGGATGGTTTGTTAGTATTTTTGATATATGGAATTGAAAACTTATCAGTAGATAGCACTTCTTCATTGAAGGCTCTAGAATCTAGCACATAGAAAAAATGATTAGTTGTTCAAAAATCACTGGTTTTAGAAATGATATTGACACTTATGTTGGATTCTGAAACTTTCAGGGACTTTTTTTTTCATTTTTCTTCTTCATAAAGGCATTTGGCTTTTTGTTCTTCAATGTACCCCTAGATACAAAGTGCCAGGAACATAGTAGCAGCTCAATAAATTGCTTATTGAATGAATGGAGAAAGCATATGTTTTCTCTGAGTTCTGCTAATTTATAAAACAGTTGGTTTTGGATTTACCAGTCTCATATTTTGTTCGTTGTATTGTACCTCCAAAGAAGGCTTGACACACTCCTTTTTCTTGCCTCTATTTTCACTTTGCATTTTCTTAAACTTTTGAAAATTATGGAAGTAGTGTTGAAAGTTGATCAAGACTGGGTTATACAAAAAAGAGGATGCTATATTTAAATATACTTGGTATATTTCCCCTTGAACTGGTGCCTTGAAGCATCAAGATTTTGGGTATGTATTGTGGTATTTTTTAAAGACAACTTCCAGCATCGGGACAATACCCTAATAGAAAACAAGGTCTTTAACATAAAATTTCATGAAACTGATACAGCACAGATAGTTTTGTCATGTGAATGGCAGAACTTATATTTCACTTTTGTTTTTTAAAAAAAAGAATAAAAAGCTAAAGCAGAAGCCCATGTGAAAAAGCAATAGTGACATCTTTCTTTGGTTTCCTTATTATTATTATTTTTAAACATAAGGGATGAATGCAGTCAGGTGGTCTCTGAGTAGAGGCAGGAGTAGATTAGTAAGCAAGGTGATAATTGGGAACTTGAGGGAATAGCAGGGAGTAAATGCTACCTAGGGAACTGAGGCCAGTATTTATGGGCTTGTATTCGTTGCGTTGAAATGTTGGGCTTCTGAACTGTGCTTCTCTCCTAGCTTCCATCTTCATTACAGTCTTGACAGCCCTCTTTGATGGAGATCCTTAAATCAGAGGGAGAAATAATGGCCTAAATGTGATGTAAGTGGGGCAAAGAAAGGGGACTATTGCTAAAGTGCAGGGCATATACAGAAATACACCGTAGGCTGATCTGCATCTTATTCCTCATTTAAAATAATTTATTTGGTATTCCATCTGTTTTGTAAATGTGGTGTTGAGTAAGAAATTGTTGTAAAACAATATTTTCTGCCAAAATAGATGCACAGATCTATACTAAAAGAACTCCTTGGTTATGGTAACAGTGTTGATGAAAATTCAGAGTGAGCAGCCTTGTAGAACCTTTCACAAATACCTTGAGATGTTAATCAAATTGTGGAAACCATCACCAGACATTTCTACTTTTCCATAGCTTACTGAAAATAACGATAGAGTTTTGAGATTATTTACAAAGGCCCATTATGGATTTTAGAGAAGAAGCCATTATGTTTGTCATCTTAAGTAATCTAGTAAACGAAAACATCACTTTCATTTTCTCTTTCCATAATTCATTTCATCACTCTATTCAATATAATCTATGCTTTATTTTGAAACAGTTAATTTTGTTAATTGTTCAGATGGCATCCATTATTTGCAAATAGCTCAATCCTTGAATTCAAGAGCTTGGTCTAAAAATATGAAGTAGCATTTTAGGCCTTAGATTTCTGTTTAAGTTTAGAAATAAATGAAGTTTAAATGTCTGTTGCTGTGGATGATTTATTTTAATCAGATCTAGTTAAATACTTTGGTTGATACTTTAAAAAATGAGGTATGATTTGCAAACAGTAAAATTCACACGGGTTTGTGTCCAGTTCTGTGAACTCTAACCAATACATTCAGTCATATAATCACCACCATCATGAAGATACAGGGCACTTCCATCACCTTCAAAAACTCCCTCAAGTCTCTTTGTGGTCTTCCCCTACGCTCATCCCCAGACAATGGCAACCATTGATCTTTGGTTCTTTTTTAATCAGTAGGAAATTCAGAAGCAATAATAGTAGCCAACATTTATTAAACACTCACTGCATGCAAAACATGTGAAAAGTGCTTACCGTAATTCTCTGACTTGGTCCTGTGCTAACCACAGAGACAGAAGGAAATCAGAGTTCAGAGAGGTTAACCCCGTGCCCCAGGTGCTGGAGTGGCTTATTGTATCCCACTTGGGTATGGCTGCACTCCATTGCTTTCCCACATTACAATGGCAGTTTGAATTTTCTCTGTAGTTAAGGTAGCATCAGTGAGACACTGGATTTGATTGTCCTCTTTAAATGGAAGATATATTGGAAGAAGGAAAAGAATCTCTCTGCTGGTGGAAGAAGTTGGCAGATAATATAGCCAGGCAGTTGATTAGACACCTGTTGTGACTTGACCAGGGCTTGCAGCTTCACAGTGACCAATGGTCTGACCTTGCCCAAGGTGGCAGCCCTAATTTTTCTTAATTATTGCTTTTATCATACTATCAGATTGTGTAGGAGAAACACTTTTACTATCTTTATGCTAATATGTTTACCTATGGCTTGACACTGAGCTCTCCAACATGGACAGCAAGCAGCCTTTTCACATCTGTTATACACATTTAAATGAAATAAAACTTTATATGTGTCTTGGCCCATGGTTTAAATAAACTAGGCTCCTTGCAGGCAAAATTTGGGCTGTATTTACCAGCTCTGCACAGATAACAAACACTCAATAACCATTTTTTAATGGGACCTTAAAAATAATACCTGCATTTGA